ACTGTCTCCTTCAGCACATCACCATTACACTGTCGACCCTATCCTCCCTTGGAATTCTAGTCAATTTGCAGAAATCCATGCTGCAACCTGCAACTCGCGTGCAGTTCATAGGAGCTGTCATAGATTCCCTGGCCACTCGGGCCTACCTTCCTCGCCAACGGGCAGATACCATTCGTCTGGAAATTCGACGTTTGTTCCGATCCAATGTGACATCAGCAGTCCACGTTCAGCGGATCCTGGGTCTCATGGCAGCCACCACCTCTGTGATCGAGTGTGCACGCCTTCGCATGCGTCCGTTGCAGCTTTGGTTTCTAAAGAAATTTCGCCCCTCCTTTCACCCCCCAAGTCTTCGACTAGTCGTGCCTCCTCAGGTCCTTACCTCCCTGCAGTGGTGGCTCGTGGACACCAATTTGCTGGCGGGTGCACCGTTCCAACCGATTGTTCCCGTGATGTCGATCACCACAGACGCCTCCCTGTGGGGTTGGGGTGCTCATACGGACGACACTTGTGTGGGTGCTCCATGGCAGCCCCTTTGGAAACGTCATCACATCAACTATCTGGAACTGCTGGCCGTAAAATTTGCCCTCAGATCCTTGCACAAACAGGTTGCAGGGAAAGCTGTGTTAATATTTACGGACAATACAACTGCAATGGCTTATATCAATCGCCAGGGCGGGACAGTGTCCAGATCCCTTTGCAGGCTAGCTATGGACATATGGGAAGAGTGCCTTCATCGGAATATCACTCTCCAAGCTGCCCATCTGCCAGGAACTTTGAACCAGCAAGCAGATTTCCTGAGCAGAGGAGGAGCATCGGACCACGATTGGGAGCTGAATTCAAAGTATCTCCTCCCTCTTTTTCAACGTCTGGGACATCCCCACATCGATGTTTTTGCAACTCGATTCAACAAGAAGTGTCCCATGTTTTGTTCCAGAGCGGGGTTGGACCCTCTGTCACTGGGGGACGGCCTGTTGATATCGTGGGCTCACAACTTTCTGTACCTATTTCCTCCGATTCCGCTGCTTCACAGGGTGTTGGTGAAAATACAACACGACAAGCCCCATTGTCTTCTAGTAGCCCCCTGGTGGCCTCGGCAAGTTTGGTTCCCGACACTGTTGAGGTTAGCCAAGGGATCCTTTGTACACCTGCCGCAGGAGTTGGATCTCCTCCAGGCTCAGGAGGGCCAGGTCCTTCACTACGATCCTCTGAGTCTCAAGCTGACTCTGTGGGAAATACGCTTTCAGTGATGGACGCTCGTATCAATGATGTCTTGTTGAACTGTCGTAAACTGTCTACTCGGACTTCCTACACAAGGAAGTGGAATCTATTCCTGCAGTATTTGAATTCCTCAAATCTACCTCCTCCGCCAGTGGATTTGAGGTCTATTTTTGCATTTATTTTGTCCAGAATGGACTTGGGTCTCAGTTTTTCGTCGGTTAAAGTGTATTTAGCTGCGGTGTCAGCTTTTCATCCATCTGTTGATGGGTTTTCAGTTTTCTCGCATCCTCAGACAAAACAGTTTTGTAAAGGCCTTATTCGCCTGTACCCTCCCCGTCGTCCTCCAACCCCGGCCTGGGATTTGGCTTTAGTTTTGCGTTTTTTGATGGGAAAACCTTTCGAGCCATTGGCCACTTGCTCTCTAAAATTGCTGTCACTCAAGACTGCGTTTTTGGTGGCCATTACCTCTGCTCGTCGGGTCAGCGAATTGTCTGCTCTGAGGTGTGATCCACCATACTTAAGTTTTTCCCCACATGGGGTTTCATTGTCTTTGGACATCTCCTTTTTACCGAAAGTTGTTTCGGAATTTCATTTACGTTCAGATGTAGTTCTGCCATCATTTTTCCCGTCTCCTGCTAATGAAGAGGAACGGAAATTGCATTCTCTGGATGTTAAGAGAGCGTTGTTGTTCTATTTGGGCAGGACTAAGTCTTTTCGCCAGTCTCCAGCTTTGTTTGTTGCTCACAGTATGCCCTCCCAAGGGAAGAAGATCTCTTCCCAGAGGCTATCGAGATGGATTGTGGAGGTGATCAAGCTCTACTACGCTTTGGCTAAGAAACCTCTTCCAGGTCAGCTTCGCGCCCACTCTACGAGGGCGGTAGCAACTTCCACAGCTTTCCTGCGAGGTATGCCGTTGGAGGACATCTGCAACGCTGCGACTTGGGCTACTCCGCTCACCTTCGTGAAGCATTATGCCCTTGATGTCCGGTCTTCTCGTCGTGTGGCGTTGGGTCGGTCTATATTGCAGACGGCGCAGATGTAGGGCCTCGGCCCCTCCTCCAGGTAAGAGTTATTGCTTGCTATTCTCCCAAGGGTGTGATGCACAGAGACCACGAAGAAGATAGACAGGTTGCTTACCTGTAACTGGTGATCTTCGAGTGGTCATCTGTGCATTCACACCACCCGCCCTCCTTCCCCTCTGCTCTCGGCCCTTCATCTTGTTTCTTTGAAGGCTGTTGGGTGGCGGTCAGAAGGAACTGGCGGGATCTGCGTGCCCCTCCTTGGTCATGCGCAGTGGAGCCGGTGCGTGACCTGGGAGAGGCACGAAAATCCCTTTTGCTAGCTACCGGTACCGAGAAGGTCAGCGCAGGCGCAGTATATCCCAAGGGTGTGAATGCACAGATGACCACTCGAAGATCACCAGTTACAGGTAAGCAACCTGTCTTTATGTTTGCTCAAAAGGGGGTTAAGTTCCCCTTCCAGTCTTTGCAAACATATATTCAGCCCGCATTTACAATATTTATTTGACCTTTTGAATTGACCCCTAAATATCATGTGGTAAATCAGTTATTGAGACCCAGAGGGGATGCTGATGTGAGAAACGGCAAATCCTTGGTGATAAGTTCCTTTCCTGTCCCAATTAATTAGATCTTAAATGTAAAAACAAAGCAATGGGTAGTGGATTATTTTCCTCCACCTTCTGCAAGAAATATGTGCTCCTCAAGATGGACAGTGGCAGCATTGAAGGCAATTTATGCTCATGTTTAAAAACTTTTCTTGTAATTATGGGCTGTGGTTATAAGAATGGGTGAATATGTTCTGTATTCCAGCTCACCTGTTGCACTCATATAGTTCACTAGTAAGGTGCTTTCTCCTGGTAGTCTTTCTTTTCGGAACGTTTACAGGGGGGACAGAAAAGCATGATGGGGTAATTTCCCATTGGCAAATTAAGTGACAGTATGATTCCTATAGAGATGCATGTAGGCCGTCAACAAAAGGATGGCTAGCACAGATTATTAAATTTCACAACTCTTAAGGCAAGTAGGGACAATAAAGTAAGGCAACAGTATAAATAAATAGATCTTTAACCATTAAACAATTAGCTAAACAGGAAATAATAACAATTAGGATGACAACTACCAAAATACTTGGGTAAACAAATGGATATTGGTTCTGTTGTACACAGTCCCTCAGCTATGATTTGGATAGTAATAATTGTGATTAAACAGTAGAAGTCTTGTGAAAGCAAGCCTTTGATTTGATAACCTACGAATAATTCTGGTGTTCATGATATAAACCCATGATATAAACCCATCCGTGGCAGGTGTGGAATCAAACAACAGAGTAGTGAAAATATGTGATGGATACTTAATACTTGCTGTGTGGAACATTCATGAGGAAGATATTGATTAGATTTTACTGATGCAGGAAGCTTGTGCAGCAGTCTGTTGCAGGTGCTTGGCTCTTGGTCTGCCTAAACATAGACATACGTGTTTTTGGTTCTCTGTTGCTGAAATGGATCAGACTTAGCTGATCAAACAGAATAATAATTTGATTGACTGCTGGTTGCTGTATTTTTGGAGGGATGCTTCCTCTTTTGTTTTTGGTTTTTGCTTTGCAGAAGTCCAAGGGTGCTACCTGACACTAACTCAGTTTGAAATGCTGAACAGGGATGCAAATATAACACATGGTGTTTGCAAGCAAGGTCTTAAGGTCCTTAGCTGGAGACATTCTTTCCCTCTCCCCCTTCTCCAGTTTAAACATCCAACCTGGTGAAGAGTTCTGGATAACTCAGACTTGTACATTGTTCTTTGTTGTTGGTCCCATTAAATATATTATGCAGCTTTCTTTTTTAGAACAGTAAAATTTGTAGAAACTCTAGAACATAAGAAAACCCTTTTAGGGGGCACACATTGGGGCATGGAGTGAAATATATGCAATACTTTCTTAGCAAGCTTATTTTACCGTTCAACGAGATTTGGGTTAATATGTGTCAGGGTCATTTGGTTGTAAAATCTATCACATTGGATGAGTTAATGTATACTGTAGCATATTAATACATGCAGCTACTCAAATTTATACAGCAAATGTATTTTTCAGAATACTGGATGTCTGCATTATGTATAGGAATTTGCATTCTCTAATGCCATACATTGTTTTACTCAAAATGTGTGATGTGAAGATTTGTTAAGAGTTAAACCTAGTCTCAAAAAAAAATTCATTAAAACAGAGTATGTCACATGAATTTTTCACTGTTCCCTAGAACTTCTAATTGTTCTTCTGTAAAAATTGAAAATCCCTCTTAAAGTAAAAGGGTTCTTCCCAGAATTTTTCTAGCTTTTCTCCAGTGCTTCATATCTCTAGAGCCAAATGAAGTGTTCAACCCACAAAACAAGACTTACATCCCTTCCAGTGTGTTCACTGTTTGTCTTGTACAGTTCTGCTATACAGTAATTGTCTCAGTTCTTCTGGTCTTGTAAACTGAAGCTCAGTTTCTAACAGTGAGACTTAAAATATTTATAAATATGGCTAGTAGTTATTCTTAAAATAGTGACCAAGAAGCTAATGTTAACAGTATGGGAATTGGCATAACATCTGAGGTGCTGCTATGCCTTCCGTCTGGGTTATTGTAGAGAGTGCCCCATTTCCCAGGACTATTTTTGGATTGTTCTGCCAAAAAAACCACTGTAAATATTTTCTTTTGGATACTTAGGAGGTGCTGTCTTCTATGGGCAAGATAATCTAAGCAACGTTCAAATATTAACTAGTTATCTTCTGTTTAGCTCCAGAATCTTGGAATTAATCCAGCAAACATTGGATTCAGTACCTTAACAATGGAATCTGACAAATTCATATGTATCCGTGAAAAAGTTGGAGAGCAAGCACAGGTTGTGATCATAGACATGAGTGATCCAACAACTCCTATCAGGCGTCCAATCTCTGCAGAAAGTGCCATAATGAATCCAGCTTCGAAAGTAATTGCTCTAAAAGGTAAGTTAAATTTACTCTATTGGTATTTACCTGAGATGAAAGGTGAACTGCAGAAAAGGCAGTACAACTGTAATGCAGTTGTGCTGCAAACTTAATTGACATCCAGATAAACAGATAAAATACAATTGGCATAAAATTGGAGTGTTAGGAATAGTGTGACTTGTCAAATCCTATATTAAGCAGGCTTCCTTGGTAAAGTGTTGAAAAGTAGTGTTCAGATGATGCAGTTAATGTGCATTCTGGTCTGTAAGATGCATCTTTATAGATAGTGTCTTTTCCAACTCAGAAAGTGCATACTGATGTTACAGGGTGGTATTTGTCAGCAGTCATCTGACATTTAAATCTGTTTTGTATTTCAAAATGCAGATTACGCCCTGTAAATACAAGTCACAAAACAAAGTTTAGATTCAGCTGCAAGTTTTGGGCTAAGAAAAACTGAAATGTAGAGTTTCTGTTGCAGCTTGTCTTCAAGATTCTGAGACTGTGGTCTTTCAGATGCTCTCTGAGCATCAGCTAAAATTGTCCCTGTCCAAGCAGATGCAAAAGCTCTTTAGTGTCTAGTATTAAAATGGTGTCACTGTCACTGACCATGTACTTTCCTTCCTGCATTCTTGTCTTAAAACAGATGGTGAGTTAACTTGTCCTGACACATTTCATGTTTAATAGTATGGAATGGTCTAATCTCATAAAAAGTACTGAATTTTGCAAAAAACACTGAGTTTTGCAAAAAAAGCAATCTGGCACTTCATTATAGAGTTAATTGGGATCTAGGTGCTGTAATTTTTTTAAGTTTGGAGAACAAAGCTACTTTTTCTCTATTGTTTGACTTGGTGGGTATAACTGTACCAAGAGATGGCCACAAGCAGTCCATCATAGTACAGTTAGTTAATCGACAAAAACAGGTTGCAATACTTTTATGAGAGACCGCTGCTAGCATGGTGTCTTGTGTGCTGGTCACTGATTTGATCTAAATGTGGTACTTTGTCCCCAAAGTCTATAACAATACTTGCAGGGGTCCACGATGCTATTGCTTAACCTTTTTATTGGGACTGTATGGTCAGAAGCCTTGCACATGTGCTGAGGCTTGCTAAAAACATATTGGAGGCAGTAGACTACTTTGAACAGCCTCTTTGTATACAGCATGCAGTGAATAACACTAATGGTAATTTTGATCCAAGACTCAGTCTCTGTATGCTATTAAAAGTGTACTAAGCACTGTCTTGGACCCCTATGAGTCAAGCTATTGGCCAAGAAAAAATTATGTCCAGGGTTACAACTAAACTCTAACTAAAATCTAACACTATTTTGTTGCTGTGCAGTGATCATGCTAACTACAGAGATGCAAGTAATATAGAATGGCAACATGAGAGGGGAGCTACTAATTTGTAAGAGTTGCGGTAGCATTATCATATACCTTTCTACTTGACACTTCAAAAGAAGATGAGAGATGGGCCTGACAGTACCTCTTAATGCACTCATCCGGTGGTGGTAGCAGAACTACAGCCTACACAAAAAACTAGCTTCCAACATGTAGATAAACTTGCGGTGTTTCTTTGAACCTTGAGTACTGGATTCTAAGCTTTTCTGTGTGGACTGTGGGGATGACAGATAAATCCTTCTGCATATTGTTATTTCCCTGAAAACTTAGTGTGGTTCATTTGACCAATGAGCCTACAGTACTAGTCCCTGAGAAACAAAGTGCTTCTCTAAGTTATGTGTATGCATACAGATTGCATTTCTGGATTGCATGCGGCATTCCCACAGTGATCAAAGCATTATTGTCCTTGTATCTATGTATCTTGTTTTTTGTTCTGTACCACTTCCAGTAATCTTCGTTGAACAGAATGGGGAATGCAGCACACTCTGGGAGACATTTCCATATGCATAGCATGGGAATGCCAAAATGCAATTTCATGTTCTACTCTTGCACAAATGTAAAGTATATGGCCTCATCTGCAATAAGAGATGTTACTGGTGAGACTGGGATAAAGATGTAGCATGTTCCTCATTCCTCAAATTTTGTAGAACTTTCTAGTCAGACATGAGTCTGTTTGTTAGAGCTGCTGTGCTCTTGGTGTGTCCCTTCCCAGTAATAAAACTTTGTACTAAGAAATCAGTTAAAGAGGCTGCAAAATAGGATGACATCATCTGACCTAACATAAAAACACGTGCAAGGCTTTAATACATCCACGTCTTGGAAATTTTAGCCTCCTCCTTGGCATTGTTGCAATAGTAGGGGCTCAGCATAATTATTCATACCCATCCATCTTCAAAGATTTACTTTTCCTTGTGGGATCAGAGGTAAAACAGAGGATGAGAGAGCTAGCTGGACAGGGGCAGTACACATAGAAAGGGCACATTTAGCTGCAAAGGAAGATCAAGGGCTTTGATATGAGGTGAAAACTCTAGGAAATGGAAGCACTTTGAAAAGAGGCTTCCTTGAGCTTTCCCTCTTGGCAGCTATGCTTGATTCTTGGTATTTTTTGCTGTTGCTTATCAAGATGAATAGCACTTCGTTTCTCCTTTTGCCCCTTCCTGGATCCAGGCCACTTTTGCTTCTAGAGAAAAGAATGACTAATCTGTTCTCCTTCCAGATGAGGGATAGTTCAATTGGGTTAACAGGGTTTGCTTCCTTTTTAGAACAACAAAAGCTGCAATTCAGAATGGGCTAGTAAAAACTAACAGCAGGGTACTCGCTTCACTTTGCTTCTGACTACAGACAATTCTAGGATAACTATTCTGTATAATTCTATGGGGTCAGTCAGATAAGTCTCCCCCCCCCCCTTTTGGGGCAGAAGATGCCTCTTACCCAGCCTTACTCTGGTCTAAAAGCCCTGAGAATCATAAAGTTAAATACTTACAATTCCAAGGTTTTGGAGCACACAGAAGGTTTCTAGAGCCTGCAGATTTCAAAAAAATCACCTCTGTGTAGTATGCAAAACTAGAAGCTAGCAAATTATGAAGTGAAGCTAATAGTTGTCGAAATAGTTTTGAGCTTGCCGTTTGGACAAAGCGTTCAGTTTAAGATCATAACAATCTGGATTATTACATGATGATGCAAACTAATTATCTGAATTTCACCAGTTGCTAGGAAAGGAATACCAGTGGCATGTCTGTATACTTGCTGTATGAGAAGATTGGGGGTGAAAAGCACACTGGTTATAGCATTAGAGCAAAGGCAGATGGGGCAGTAGATGGTCCTGGAAACAGTCTGTTTAGAACCTGCCTCCTAAGTTTGTAGAGAAAATGTCCAAGAATAATTTGAATTTTAAGGCGGGGTGAAACATGAATTGGAAACTTTTCAGTAGTAAGTGTTTGTCCCAGGATCTGCCCGGTGTCTCGGACTAGGGCCTTCTTTGATCTACCTAGCAGAAATACTAGCCTCAGCCATTGCAAGTCTTGCTTCCTACTATGAAGCAATGATTGGGGGGGGGGGGATAATAAATTCTTCCCAGCTAATGCTTAACACCCTCTTCTCTAGACAACTCCATCTCTGCTAACCCTTTTGAATCTTCCTCTGTAATTCAATGACCCTAGAATATCCCTTTCATTTTCTTAAAGTAGCTTTACTTTTGAAAGACTGGAAATGATGCATAAACATCACCAGATAGAAGCATTCTGTTTGTGCTTCCTTTTTGAGAACTTCTGATACTAAATCTTGTGAGGTCTCGCCAACAGCTGGCACTTCACATATTGGTATCAAGAGTTTCAAGTCCATTGAATACAGCTGTGGATTAACATTTTCTGTGCCCACAGTCTACACTGCTGTACTCTATTCCCTATTGCTTTACATGTGGCTGGAACTATACATTCAGTAAAATGAGATGGTAGAATCCTGAGGCTGTCGAGTGGTCTAAAGAGGATGAATTTTGCACTTGGGGGCATCAGCTTTGAAAACATTCAAGCTTTTCTCTGAGTGAGTTTTCTCTTACAAAGAGCTGCTTGCTCATGTGTGGACTTTTTGGGTGGGATAACATTAACAGTGTGAAAGCATTATTCACTCTACCACATCAGGGTTCTGCTACCTCTTTACACTGCATGTGTAGTATAGGCTCCTGTCTTTAACTATAGTCCTAGAAAACAATTCTTAAAAATTGCCTTTGTTTTAGATCTTTTAACCCGAAACGTAAGCTGTGGGAGTAGTTGTTGCTTAACATTCCAGAGTTCTGTGATTTCTCCTTGTTTTTGTATCTTGTATACTAGCGGGGAAAACCCTTCAGATCTTTAACATTGAGATGAAAAGTAAAATGAAAGCTCACACAATGGCAGAGGAAGTGATCTTCTGGAAGTGGATATCTGTGAATACGGTTGCCTTAGTGACAGAGACTGCAGTCTATCACTGGAGCATGGAGGGAGAATCGCTCCCTCAAAAGATGTTCGACAGGCATGCCAGTCTTGCGGGCTGCCAAATAATCAACTACAGAACAGATGAGAATCAGAAGTGGTTACTGCTAATAGGAATCTCTGCCCAGGTAAGCAATAGATCTAGTGTGGTAAGAGTGTTGAACTGGGATCTGGGAGACACAGGTTCGACTCCCCACTCTGTCATGGAAGCTTGCTGGATGACTGTGGGCCACACACACTTTCAGCTTCACTTACCTTACAGGGTTGTTAGGATAAAATTGTGACGAGATGGATGTAAGATGCTTTGGGTCCCCATTGGGGAGAAAGGCAGAGTGTAACCTAAAGTAAATGCTAGAGAATAAATGTGGCTGGGGGTAGGGGAGGAGTTGCCAGCTTCGTTCTCTTCCTGTAAGATGGAGTAAATGTTTTCCAGTCATGGCTGGGTGGTGGAGCTGTAGTTTACTGAAAATGTAAGTAATACGTTTTGCTTTCTTGCTAGTTCAGATCAGCAGGGATATATGGCATGTATTAGAATCTGTCCTGTTGAGTTAATAACAGGAGTCCCTTGGAAGGGTAAGAGTTTTTGAATCTCCTGGTACTGGTAAAGCTCTTGTCCACTTAATGTATGTGGCCCTTGTTTTCATTAGCAAAATCGTGTGGTTGGTGCCATGCAGCTGTATTCAGTAGACAGAAAAGTTTCCCAACCTATAGAGGGTCATGCAGCAGCATTTGCAGAGTTCAAAATAGAAGGAAATGCCAAACCATCCACACTCTTCTGTTTTGCTGTGCGAAGCCCTGCAGGAGGCAAGGTAAAAATCTTGATGCTTGTTTTTTTTCTCCTTTATTGATGCTAACAGCTACTTTTATTCTGATACTTGAGACTGTTAACAAATGAGAGTTCTTCGCAGCAACACTAAGTGTTTGTGTCACTATCGCTAAATACTGCAGGTCCTTGAGAAAGAGCCAGGAAAGCTCTGTGTCAGGGTTTGAGATAAAGCTCCTAGTGATGAGATGAAATTCCTAGTGATGATTTTCTGATGTGAATGGATACTGAAGAGCCTCTGACTTGGATAATCACTACAGCAGTGAACTTGCGATAGCTTAACTTGATATATACAACATTCTGAACTTGAAATACACAACATTCTGAAACAGGCTATAAAACAACTTTAAACTTTTAAACAAAGAATCTTAGGCTTTCTCTTAGGGAAAATCAGAAAGATCTGGGAATTGTTTTATCTTGAATGCAAAAGCTAGAAGTTTGAAGCAGAATGGTATGGCAGTGTAACACAGTTGATTTTAAAACTAATATTGTCTTTACAGCTGCATATAATTGAAGTAGGCCAACCTGCTGCTGGAAACCAGCCCTTTGTCAAGAAAGCCGTTGATGTATTTTTCCCTCCCGAGGCTCAAACAGACTTCCCAGTAGCGATGCAGGTAATTAATGTGACGCTTCTGGTGAGCTGTCCAACTTGTATGGATTGCAATTGTAATAGCATGATATTGCTTCTTTTTAGTCTGAATGTGGATAGTAGTACAGGATCCTCAAAAAATATACTGGCATAAGGAAAACTCCGCACACTAATGAGGCTGGTACAGTTATTGCTAATAAGTGCACTTCTGGGGACTGGGGGGGAGACCAAAATCAGTTTGGAAAAATAGATTCTAGTTTAGTGTGCCAGTCCTCAAATTTTATTTTAGGGACTAGGAGGCCTCGGCTGGTGCAAAAGGCATGTGAAGCTATTATACCTGTTAAGTGCTATCATAAAGTTGAATATGTTTTTGCCCTTTGCTCTGAAGAGTGAAAATGGCATTGAGATCCAGCAGAGAACGGTACTTTTGCAGCTGTCAATTCTTGGCCAAATAAGCATTTGTCTTGTAGTATAGCTGGAACAGACCTAGAATCAACACATCCTCCTAGCCGCTGCATACGTTGCAGGCTGATTCTAATCCGCTATGATGAAAACTTAGCTTCTGTAACGCTAGAATATTATCTCTGTAACCAAGCCATGAGAGTTTTTAAAAATGAAGCTTTGTTTTTGGTGGAGGGCAACTTGATTCTGCATCTGGTCTCTTAACTCTAACCATAAGAAAGATTCAGTATGCTAGTAGTGACCCTGACTTAAGTAAGAAAATGGTTTGGTAGTTACAAGCTTTTTCAGTGTAATAGGTGGAATTCTTCTTTCATTTTGTTAGATTGGAACAAAGCACGGTGTAATCTATCTGATTACAAAATATGGATACATTCATATGTACGACTTGGAATCTGGCGTATGCATTTATATGAACCGTATTAGTGCAGACACTATCTTTGTAACTGCACCTCATGAGCCTACCTCAGGAATTATTGGTGTGAACAAAAAAGGACAGGTAAGGCTGATTATAAGTGCACTTTGAGCTGTAAGTTATTGTTGCTCACTAAAGTATTTTACTCTGGATCTACCCCTTCAACTGAATCAAATTACTTATTCAGATCTTGGTTTTAGATTTCTTTAAGCCACCATACTGGGTTTTGGAGTACCTCCTGTGGGTTTCAGTTTCTGTTGGCTCAAAATGGCGCAAATTCATGAGGGCTGTGTATTGAAGCAAAGTCTTCAAAATTCTCAGACATGCATACTTCAGCCAAATCAGATCACTGCCTGGCATTACACATGTCTGCTCACACAAACGGTGACTGCTCTTTCACTTAACCATACAGCTATTCTGACTTCCCCTCTTAACACCATAGTAAGGATAGTTTTTGCAGCCTAGTCTTTAATCCTTCCTGCTGCACAAGCATGTATGTTGGGCCTAAAAATCCCTCCAGCAAAAGTTCTAAAGCACTTGGTGATGCCGACATTCAAACAAATGTTGAGAAATTAATGCTGGAGCTCTTGCTTCATTGAAGCAATACAAAAATGGGACTCAATACTGGCCTCTGTTCTGGCTAGTGTTTGTGTAGCAGTGGTCTCCTGTTAACAATCTAATATCCTTCGTAGTTTCTTAAAATGAAACTCATCTAAACAAGTGGTTTTAAATCTTGTGCTATACAGAGAGTGCATAAATAGCACTAAAAGCCAGAGCATGTTCTAGTTTGATTTTTTTTTCTCCCCCTCTTATAGGTACTTTCTGTTTGTGTTGAAGAGGACAACATTGTGAACTATGCCACCAATGTTCTCCAGAACCCAGACTTGGGTCTGCGGATGGCCATTCGGAGTAACTTGGCTGGAGCAGAAGAACTCTTTGCTAGAAAATTTAATACTCTTTTTGCACAGGGAAACTATGCAGAAGCAGCCAAAGTGGCAGCATCTGCACCAAAGGTGAGCATGGGGTGGGTGGCATATAACCTTGGCTGGTACAGTTGCTTATGTGATGTAGTTGCTTTGTGTCTAGGCAGTAGATCTAGATGCAGAACATACACTTCCATGGGGTTCAAACAAAAGGGAAGCATAAGATACAAGTCATTGTTAGTTCTTGCATATGTAGAAGGGTTCTGCTGGTCATTTTTTTTTTTAATATTTTAAATTAAATTTTTACACAATATTAACAACAGCCTAAAGCGGCAGAGAAACAAGGATAGTAAGAAACATAAGTATATAAACCCTAATTGAAACCTCCATTTAATACATAGAGAGTTTTAAAAATACAAAAATTCTGGTAATAACTATTGTTTGGAATATAACCCCCTTCAGCTAAATAACTAACCACTGGGATCCAAACCTTTTGAAAAGTTTGCTGACGGGATTCTGAAGTTATTGCTGCATTTTGTGAGGAGATTTTCCCTAAGAGAAAATGTTCCCAAAGTTTATTTTGCCAGTCTGCAAGGGAGGGGGCTGTTACATCCTTCCATTTTTAAGAACATTCAAAAGTTCTCTGCTGTTAGAGAATTGCTTCAGAGCTGGTCTTCTGTAACATCACTACCTAACTGTGTTCTTTGCCTGCTGGGCCTTGACTGTCACATAGAGACTGGAATTCTGAGGGGGTAAGTGATCCTTGAACCATGATCCTTGCAGGCAACCCTGAGCAAATAACTCATGTTGAGTTATTCCCAAGTAAATGTGCTTAGGAATGCAGTCTTATTTTTTGCCCAGCAAAACCCCATATGAGTAATTTGGGGCCAGCTTTGTTGTAACATTCTGAAATGACAAGCTGGATGAAACTTGTTTTCCTTAGAACTATCCTTGCAGCAGGCTCTTCCAAATGTCTTCCTTTTGATATTAAGGGAATCTTGCGGACAAGCGATACCATCAGGAAGTTCCAGAGTGTACCGGCTCAACCTGGGCAAGCTTCTCCTTTGCTACAGTACTTTGGAATCCTCCTTGATCAAGGACAGCTTAACAAATTTGAATCTCTGGAGCTCTGCCGTCCTGTTCTTCAGCAAGGCCGCAAACAGCTTCTAGAGAAATGGCTAAAGGAGGATAAGGTAGGCATATAACATTTTAACATCTGTTGCATCTTGGCTTACTTATACCAGGACAGTTTCATTTTCCTGTGCTGTCTGTGTTGGTCTTCCCATCCAGGCAAAAGGATCAGTAGTAATCATTTTCATTAGATATGTGTTGCCGATGCTCTCTCCAACCCCAGTTGAGATTTCTGCCGACTTTGTAAAGCCTAGGTGTATTTCTCCAATGCATAAATATTATTTATCTACAAAATTTATACCCATGCCATTTTGCCATAATCAGGGTCACAAAGGCAGCAAACAGATAGAAAAATACTTAATAAAAAACACTTCTTAAACCATTAAAACCAAACAAACACATCATTAAAACAAAAAACGTCACTCTGGCTGTAGCCAAATTCTTTTCAATTGTTGTGGCTCATCATACAGCTGTTCAGAACCAGTAGGTTGGTGGAACTGTAATTTTATCATTATTAAAACCAAGCAAAAATATACATACAGAAACATAACAACTAAAACATAGGGCAGGAAGGTAGGATCATTGAGGGAATACCCAGATGAAACAAAGACCGATCTCCCACAAGCAGCTGTGCCACCCTCGTTCTTCCCTTTCCCCCGATTGTATTCGTCAGTGTCCCACTACTTGCTGCACAGCCACATTTTGACCTGCAGCACTACCCCAATTTCCCCCGCGTCGTCTTGATTCTTGTTTTTTGAGACTGAGAAGACGCAGGGAAAATTGGGGGATGCTGTGGGTCAAAATGCAGCCACGCAGCAAGTAGTGGGAAATTGACGAATACAATCGGGGGAAGGGAAGAGCGAAGGAGGCACAGCTGCTTGTGGGAAATCGGTCAAAGTCTTCACCTGCTGGTGATAAGACAGCAACAGAATGGTGCAGATGAGTCTCTAAGGGTAGAGATCCAGAGTTCTGATACTGCAACTGTAAAGGGCCTCTTTGGGTTGTAACCTGCCTGTACAGGATGAAGAGCCACTGGCTCAGGAGATGGGGGCACCTGAAGCAGGGCCTTGGAAGGTGATTATAGCGGTCAGGTAAGCTTGTGGGAATACACTGTAAAGCCAGCAGAATCTTCTAGCTGAAACTACCTTCTTGCAAGATTTTCAGTTACATTTTTCCATTTTTATCTTTAGGTTTATCTTCAACTCAGCAAGCTCGATCACTGAAATGCAAATAGTCCTAATGCATCACTTTGGACAGCAATAGGCAATTGCAGTAATTTGCCATAGTGTGTGAGTGGGTGGTCAGCACCTGCAGTGGTTGGTGCAATAAGTCTGCAAAGTGTGGTCTCAGTCTAGCAAAATATGATGTAAAATACCAGCAGTTCCCTCTTTGACTTTGAAATGCTGTTTCTGTTTCAGCTGGAATGCTCAGAGGAGCTTGGAGACCTAGTCAAGACAGCTGACCCAACGCTTGCTCTTAGTGTTTATCTCCGTGCCAATGTACCAAACAAAGTAATTCAGTGTTTTGCAGAGACTGGTCAATTCCAGAAAATTGTTCTTTATGCCAAAAAGGTAAGTATAGTATCTCCCTGTCTGTGGTATGTGATTGTGTAACCTAAAATGTAACTTACAATCAGAAAATTCTTGAACACATACTTGAGTTTTATCTTACCCAGAGATAAGGCAAGGCCTTGGAACATTCCAGTATTAAGTGTAATATGCTGCAATGACCTTGTTCCACCTTAATCGCTTAACTGTCTGGTGATTTTTAAAATGTTACTGGACAGTACTCTTGTGGGCAAAAAAATTGTAGCATATCATCCTGAGCTTCAAGACATTTCATACTGTTGAATGAAACCCCCTGAAATTCCAGGATGCTCCATGCATTTTCAGCCCTCAAGGCACATTCAGATGGTCTCTACACATGACATATGTGTCTTCCCCAATAGTTTTAATCCTTAATCATTCATCCCTTCTCTTATTCTGTCTGCATGTGTAAATATCTAGAACATACTGGATTTATGTTTTGTCTCAAAACCATTGAGTCATGTATAGTAATACAAACCTGTCTTGGGCCATTTGAACTTGGTTGCAAGGATATTGCTTTGTTTGGAAGATGCTTTGTTTACCCTTTATGTACAAAGTAGTAGTGGAGTCATGTGCAGAGGTACTCCAGTTTAATCTCTATTAATTTGAAGACCAGAATAACTCCGCATAGGTTTGTACTGTGATAACTCAAGCAAATGTGTCACGGAGGTTAACATGTGTATATTGCTGGGTTTTATTTTGTTTTCTTGGTAGGTTGGCTATACACCAGATTGGATTTTCCTGTTGCGAAGTGTAATGAGGGTCAGCCCAGATCAGGGCCTTCAGTTTGCCCAGATGTTGGTACAGGATGAAGAGCCACTGGCCAACATTAACCAGGTAAGCAAATAGACTGGCTTTCGCCTGTTCTAATGTATCATTTCTAGAGGATAAGATTGAATTTCCCTAAAACCCTAATACAGTTAAATGGTGACTTTTTAAAGTGTAGGGGTTTAGTGTCTGTTGTTGATCTCTTAATCCAGATTATTTGGATGGCTTTGTAGTACACTGGCTCTTCCGGTCTCTGCTAATGTTACTGTGTAGTTGACCTTTCTCTGTGGTAGGTGGTGTTCAGACTGATAAGCAAATGAGCTGCACAGGGATATGGAATATGTTCTTGAAAGATGGTGAAAAGAAACTTTAAATCAATAAGAATGAGCAGCCAGTGCTCAAATGTACAGATAAGAGTTTGCAGTGCTGTTTCCAGGTCCTCCTGGTAAAAGAATAGCCTTACTTGAAGGGAAAAAAAGCTGCTAAACTGGATAAAGTACTTAGAATGTCGAAAAAATACCTGCAACAATGTAGTAACAATGTTCTGTGCCTGTTTACTTAGAAATATTGTTGTTCAGTGGCATTCAGTAAGTATGCATAGGATTTCCTCATGTAATACTTGTTGGCTTGAAAACCTAACAGCATTAAGTGAGTTCTAATGTGTTAGAAATGAATTTATTAGTGCCTACATTGGGGGGGGGACAAAATTGACTTCAGACCTGCCAACTCTAAAACCAATGTATGTGGTACTTGCCTAACAACTATTAGGATTTTCACATTTGGTTGTTTGAAGATAGACAATGTTAACTCCAATATATGGAAAACCACAAATAGCTTTGTTGCACACGTCTGACAAGCCATTCTGGTCTGCTTTAGATTGTAGATGTATTCATGGAGAATAGCTTAATTCAGCAATGCA